AGTATTTTAAAGAACCTTATTTTTCTCTGTATAACCTACAAAACTTGTGCAGGTTTTTATTATAAAAAAACTGAGAAAAAAAAAAAATAAACAAAATTTTTTCTCAAAAACGGTTTACTATGATTTCGTTAAAATTTTGCAAATCTACATTAGGCATAAAGGATGTAAAACTGTCAAATAACTTTTTTAACAATCTTTCTATATCCGTACCCTCTACCTAAGGTGAAGTTGTAAAATTTCGATCTTATTCTTTCGTTTCGATTGGATTAGGAGCTTTGTGTTTAGACTTTAGACAATATAGGAATTGTTAATAATTAGTATTAGTATCACAAACAAGAGTCAAAATACGTGCGAAGGCGTTAAACGGTGAAGAGTTGAGCTAGGAAGCTGTTGTGCCCGTGCTAGAGAAGGTCCTTAGGTAATTACGCGCGTGTTTTAAACGCTGTGTAAACAATATTTGGCGTTCTATTTGTAAAATTAAATTAGTAATACTTCTCTGCACTCAAATAAATTTCGATAATTTGCTATTAAAATATCAAGTCATAAAAATACCGGCATCTTGAGAACCATTTTGACTTATTTTTTTCGAAAATTATAATTATTAACAATGGTCGATAGACAAACTCATTTTAACCAATTTGTACCACCCCCATATAAAGAAATGTAATTTTTTTCTTCGCAATTAAAAAAATTAGTTAACGCCATTTTGATCGCCATCTTGATTTTTTGGCTGCACATTTTTTGATAAAATAGTAATAAATAGTGATAATAGTAAAGTAAAGTAATAATATTAAAAAGTAAACAGTGTGTACTAAATAAAAATCGTAATAATATTTTTGTTTACAACAAGAAAAGGATCTTATAGTGTGTTTTAGTTGTCATTTTGGGCGCCATCTTGATTTGGGGCTTTAGCAGACGGATTTCGAGGTTGTGACAGGAAAAATCGGACTCAGCAAGGTCCAACTACCCTAAAAACACTTGTCACCAAAATGTCTCAACATTTGCCGTTAGAAGTTAAGATCTCAAAATTGTCGCCCGGACACAACAACAAGAGCGCGAAGTTCAATTTCGCGCATTGAGACTGAAGGTATTTTGACGAGGCGAAGCCGAGGTACAATATAAATAAATAAGTTAATTTTTTAATTTTTTGTTATTTGTTTTAGTTGACGGGTTAACTAAATAAAACCATTATTATTATGAAGTTAATGTTAATTTGATTCGCTCGTATTTCGCAATCAAAATGCAAGTAATGAAAAAATGGTACCTTTTTTAATTGTTGCAATTGTCGTAGCGGCTGACCTCGGGCGGATGGAACTTTTACGCCTCGGGTCAAATTCCCACAGGTCTGTTGCCCAAACTTCGCAGATCTGATTCAATGTACCCCTCTCACTTCTTCTGGTAGACTCCACGTAGGGGTTTTGGAGGCCGGGATGTAGTCTATACTGCTTTCTCTCGATTTTGCTGGATATCTTCTGGTAGAATGTCTGCAAAAAGACAAAATTTGCAACACAAGCTGGCCAATAATACGCGTCACTGGCGCGTGCAATATAAACCGCGGGGTTATTTAATTGTCCATTTACCAATGGGAGGCTATGGCGTCGACGATGAAGCTGAAATACGTTCTTTATGGCGGCGGGCATATTTTCGGCGAAGAATATTAGCACTAAACTTCTTCGTTTGTATCAGCCGCAGGCATACCAAGGAGCACCAGAGAGATTACCTTTTTTTGGCTCAAAACATACAACAAACCAAAATCTCCGATCCGCCGCAGCAACCAAAAACCGAATCGTAATTGGATTCAAAATCGCGCTTCGCTGTTACAGAGTAGAAAAGTTCCACTCGACATATACAAGATACTCCAAATTATATCAACACCCTGTATATTAAACTTAAAAGAAATGCAACGTACGCTTGTGGAAAAGTCCCACCCTACCTACTTATCGAAATCCCCTTACAATAAGCGTACCTAAAGAGACATTCTCAATGAACATGAGAAAGCATTTGCATGGGTCACTTATAGCAACTAAATCAAGCTAGCCCTAACAAAACGCCTTTAGTTAATTGTTAACCCACCCACAAATATTAAATATTTTACTCAGATTTATTTACTCAGAAAATAATACGTGATCGCGTAGTGAAGAGTTTTATCCCTCGAAAACATACACCCTGTATAAAACAAATGCCCTAAAGCCTACTGATTTCAAGATAAATTTACAAAAAAAAGTAAAAGTCAACTTTACCTAAGCTAAGTGTCCTGAATAAACGTGCGCACTCCGAACTGCCTACACAATAATGATCATTCTACGTCGACTATCGCCAGCTTGAAAAGGATGACGCGTAATCACTTACGTCGTCCTTGTGCGATTTGAATTGTTAAGAACGGGCGGTGAACAATTCCATTGGCGTAACTTGCGTTTTTTTCCATAAACATTTCGCTAAAATGCGAATCATTTACAAATTTATTTTATGGCCATAATGTCAGACATCGCGGATTGAAAGGCTTCCGCAACCCATTAAGGAACAATGCTCCATTCAAATTAAACAGCGCAGTCAAGATAACCTTCATTTTAACAAGAAGAAGAAAGAAACATCCGATAAGGTTCCTGAGTGCCCAAAAAATATGTATCTAGAAAGTTTGAGGAAAGGATTTTAATCTATTGGGCGCCAAAAAGGTTTCTGGATGAAATTCCACAAATGCTTCAAAGAAGTTTTTTGAAAAAGTTTCGGAAACATTTTTCCCGGAAAAACTTGTTAAGAATATTTATACAAAAAACTCTAGAGATTTGTAAGGTGTTTGGAACTTTTCCCTATAAATTCCAATAGAACTGCGGTTTACTGGGGAGCACCGAGACCGGAAGGTCCTCCAAGTCTTCCAACAACGTAAGAGTCGATGACCATTACCGAAAAATTGACCGGAGTTCAAAATCACCCACCACCGAAGAACTTAATAACCTTTTCCCTATAAATCTCAGTAGAACTTTCGTTCATTGGGGAGTATTCCAGACCTCCCGGTAACGCCATCCTTCACGTTGCGGCTTAAGAACTGGTATGGTGGTTATTGAGAAAGGATTATCAGTTCCTGTTCTCCCCATTTCAAAGGACCGGGGGATCAAGGGGGGGGGGTATTCCAATACCACCAGAAACGTAAAAGTTCATCACAATTCCCGAAACATTTTCACAAACCGTCGCGGAAGCATCAGATCTTTTTCTCCGCACTACAGTGAACGCTGCACTGGGGTTTGGGAGGTATGAAATGCCCTCCCTCCCCCAGCAACGTAAAAGTCGATGACCATTTTCGTTAAAAGCGACGGGAGTTCATAACCACCCAACACAGAAAGACATGATAACCTTTTACCCATAAATCTCAGTAGAACTATAAGAGGGAGGGGGGTATTCCGTACCCCCCAGACCCTTCTCTGAGCTATTTTGGTTAAAAAAAATGCGCTTTATCTGCACAAGAGTTGTACACAATTTATAGGTACTTGTTTCTTCACGTTTGGAGTGAATAGTTAGGGTATGTTTGTCATAGTAGGTACCTTTAAATCTTCTGGCAGTTAATGTAAAGGTTAAATAAAAGATCAGTATTTCATCTGTATAGTGTTTAACCCTTCTAAGTGGATGAGGAATCAACCAGAAGCCACTATCAAAATAAATAAAGTTTCTCCCATTAAGAAAATGTTTAAGTACTTGATGAAGGATGAATATTCTATGTCTTCTTTATTTTTTTCCCGCTTCACACACTCCAACGTTCTCCTCGGCCGCTCCATTTCGCGCTTCTTCTTTCTGTTTCCTTCCTCATTAATCTTTCACCCTACGGTCCTTATTCACACTTCTTTGTTTTCCTCTCCTCAATGCTAGTTTTGAGGAATTCTTCTAAACCTTCATTTCTCCATCAATTTTCACCGTTCAACCTTCAAGTTGAAGTATAAAGTATAAGTGATTGTTGACTGTTCTTGAAATTTTTTTTCACTCTACTCTTTTCGGGTCTGCGTTGCCCGCCATAAGTTATTTTGCGTCATCGTCACTTCTTTGGAGGTTACTGTTTTTGGTGGGATTCTTTATAATCGGGTACAGTGTATAGTTTTTAATCTTTCCTCTTATTACGTTCACTTCCTTCCATCCCTACTTCTTTTTACCCCTCTTTTCTTCGCTTCTTTGTCCTCTTGCTTGCTTCGTGAATTCTTCTTCCTTTCTACGCTTTCTTTATTTCTCTTTTTTCTCCTTGCTTCTTGAACCGCTTCCCTTTCTCTTCCTTCTCCCACACCTCTGTCTACCGGCGCCTTTCGTACTCCCTTTGTCTTTTGACCATTTGGAAAACCGCACTTTCTTTCTCTAAAATCTTTACTTTTTTTAAATTGCTATTATTTTAGGAGCTTTTGAATCTTTAGAATTTTGAAAACATCCACCACACCTTCTAAATTCACGCTTTCCGGTATTTCTTTCTTCTTTTCCCTTTTCCCTAGCGACTTCTTTCCGACATCCTTTACCCTCCTACGTTTTTGGACTACCGCCCTTTGGTCTGTTGGATTTTTCTTTCATTAAAAATTTTTGAATCTTCAGAATCGTTATAATCTTGTGTCGGTTCTTGGTATCTGTAAGTAGGAACCATGGAGATTCTGATTTCTGGAAGATCTTGAGAATCTTTAAGAGTTTTGGAAAACTTTTGTGGAAATTTTGAGGAGATTGTAACAACGTTTTAAGAAGCATCCGAGGTGACAAGAAAATCTCAAGATTTCAATACTATGGCAAGAGACGAATTTAAACAGTTTTTGAAGACGATTACTAGTCTCCTAGATTTTGTAAGATTACTAATTGGTTTATACGCAAATTTCGAAGACGGGTGTAGGAAAGTTTCTAAGAAAATGGTTTCGGACCAACTTTGGAGGATGTGACTAAAATGAGTCTGTATAACACTATTTCTTGGAATATTAAAAAAAACCTAAAACGAATTAAAAAAACAAGTACCTATCATGTAATAGGAGAGCAATCATAAAACTAAAAAATGTCATGAAGTTTTAATAAATGTTATCTGATTAGTTTAGCAGCGTTTCCATAATCTTAGCTTTACAAATTACTAGTAGTTAAAAAACTATGAATTGGCGGACCTACTAATTCCGGATTGTTGTTGTGAACGTCGTGATTTCCGTTAACTTCCATTGTGGTACATTTAGGATTGGCATGCTTTAATTCCTTCAGAAACTCTTTGTAGTATTCCAACAGAGGCGTGGAATCCTTTCCAACGATAATTAGAAGTGGACAGGTAACAGGATGCTCTTTTATCACTGAAACACAAAAATCCATATCGACGAACAGGCAATGTTTCGTTTTTAGTCTCAGGTCGTTTGTAATTTGGTACTGATTGTCGCCGATAGAATTTAGGCACCGTTTCAATAAAGGTTCTGCAGCTTCTGGCTTCAGTTTTCCATACATTCGCCCATTAATGATGGCATGCTTCGCTTTCTCAAACGAATACACTGGAGGCTTGCTCGTTTTGGATTTTTCTAGTAACTTGATGACACTATCGATGTACTCAGTGGTGCACTGTTTAAAGTAGTCGACCGACACAGGTGAAAAGTAGACTGCTTCAATTACCACCAGTCGCAAAACGCGCTCCGGGTAAAATTGCGAATATAACATGGCCATTTGTCCTCCCCAGCTATGGCCGATCAGTATGATCTTTTCCCTGTTCACGTAATTGACCACCATGTTAACGGCGAGCATGTAGTTAATTTCATGGAGCGGAATGTTGCTAGGAAAATGACTTGATTTTCCGTGACCGGGAAGATCAAACGCGATGTAGTAAAATGTGTCCGGCAAGTGAGAAATTAACCTATCAAAAGATCCAGCATTGTCACTTGTCCCGTGGATCATCAAGACCAACTGGTTCTTGTCGTTTCCCCACGATTTCGCTAAAATGAAAACATCTCAAATCTCGTTTGATCGTGTCGAGGCAAACCTGCAATCTGTCCCCAGGGCACCGGAATTTCGAACTCTTTTTCTTCCATTTTTAGGTGTTGTTCGGTTAACTGTTGAGATAGAACTGTAACGCGTTATGTTATCGGGGAACCACTTTGACTCGTCGATTAACAGGTCAAAGGTTAAGAGGCAATTAAATGGTTTTATATTCACAAGGTGCGCGATATTTATGTAAATGTCGACAATTAATGTTTATACTAAAATAAATTAGTCATTAACAATAAAACCGTTATTGTTACTGGTAAACGTTTTGTGTTATTTATAGCAAATCCATCTTTCTTCAAAAAGTCAGTGTGTTTGTTACTAGAGTGCCATTTTCTGATCTCTGCGCCCTACTTTCTTCTTATTTCGTATCTAGCTTTTTACCTTTTACCAAGCTATTATTTTTCGATGGAATCTTCATGGTTTGGGTTTTGCGATTGAGTCACGCTAAATTAAGTTTCACATTTGAACATTGTCAAAATGTCCAATAACCGTTAATTCTACTAATTTTGATGGAACAACAGTAACTCTGAAAGCAGCAGGATAGGAAATATTGATTTCTATTTGGGTATTTTGGTAACAAAATTTCATGTTTCATAATTGTGTGTAAAGGCGTTTTCCACCAAGAACGCATAATTTGGAATTTATAAATGAAAAATTGAAAAAGGTTTCAAAACTAGGCAAATTCGTAAACCCTTTATCCATATCTTCACCTAATTGAACTAATTATAAAATATCGAAAATACAAAACATTTTAAATCGATAGAAGTTGCCAACTTTTCGAAATAGAAGTATTTACTATAGCATGCGATATAAAAAAAAACATGTTAAAAAAAGTCTGATGCATTAACGCCCCCTATACTTCCAACCAAACATCCAGAATTATCAACTTCAGGAATGACTTTCAGCTTTCAGACTAAGAGATGCAGGAATAACACGATTCTTCGATATTCGGTTGCCGAGATCTCGATCGATTTATCAAAGGGGCCCGAATAACCGACAGTTATTGAAACATTAAGCTTCCTTTTGAGAATCAAAAATGCGCTAATAACTTACCATGATTATGACCAAGGTACAAGCCGACAGAACTTAAAATGAAACAGCCTACACAAGTCAAACGTTAACAAAAAAATCGAAAACCGATATAGAGAGAGGAAAAGAATGACACTTCTACTTCTACGCTTTGGTTATTGGAATAACGTTGTAATTAGATACCTTGCATAAACTGTGGTCTGTGTGTCGCTTGGTTATTATAAACTCTTGAAAAATATGTAATTAAAAAGGTTGCTAATTATCTGCAGGTTATTATTACAATATATTATATATTGTAACAATATAATGCAGTCGAAAGTGATTTAGCTATAATTATTTAGTTAGAACCAACCGCAACTTTTTCAATAGAAACGGAATGAAAAGAGTGCCGTTTCGATAATAATATACGTAAATAAATAAACCTTTTTTTAACTATTCAACCAATGGACCACGAAGATTATGTTAAGAGATGAAAATAAGATTCAAGCGAACTCCCATTATAATTAACGGAAGAAAAATATTAAGCATTTACCTTGAAATTGAACGGTACGGTAAAATGCAAAATTGAACACTTTGAAAATGCCCTGTGATATATCAGAAACGGCAAACTAACGTGCAGGTTATCGGTCAAAAAACGATATTTTGCGTCATGCGTATCCTGCCGTTATACGAGTAGAGTTATCAAAAAATGTCGAAATAGAACTCGGACATTCCAGCCGGCATGATACGTTCAAAATTAAAACTTCTTTCTTAATTAATTTCTCAAATTCTGGTTATCATCAAATTCCGTAACCAGTCCCAAAACTCATGCCAAGCAAGCGCGCATATTTGACACTAGACACAATCTACCCAGACGAGCTTTGCTGCACCCCGTCTGATTAGCTATTGTGCTTACCCAAATGCCCGGGCTTAAACTTCCAAATTCGATAGTCCAGTAAGCCCCATTGTTTATTGAAATTTTTGGGGCAAGCGACAGGTAACTTATTTATCTGTGTAAGTGAGCGACTTTGACGGTTTCTATCTTAGTTTTAAATTACCATTGAGCAACTGAAATGGACCAATCATTAACTAACCGAGCTGAAATATAATTAAAATATCCATACGGGAACGGTTACAAACGGCAAACGAAACTTTTATGTAGATGTAGAGAGTTTGTTCTACATTACTTAAATGTAACGACATTTTTTTGGTATGGGCCACTTGTTATAAGTGATTGACAATAAAAACTTTAAAAAAAGGTCTTTCACCTCACTTTTACACGCTATGTGGTATATATATCCCATAGTTTGATAGAAAGGTAGACAGCGTTATACGTTTTAGAAATTATGAACATTGTAGAAAATAGTGAAGAAACAACATGAGAATTTAAATTGCATTGTCTACTCTAAGGTATCCGGGTGAGGCTAACTAGGTACTTTGGAAAAGCGTTCTTAAGTTACTACGATTTCCTTTTCTCCTGTTAAATTTCCTATACTGCCTCTCGCCCTTACGTGACAAGTTCCTCTTCAGCGTTCCAGCTTTTTTTAGGTTTATATCAAATTCCTCCCAAGTTTCCCTAAAATTCATTCTCAAGTTTTCAAATTTTCATCAGTTTTCCTTTTTACAAAATACAAAGCATTTCACTTCTTTTATGCTAGTGGAAGTGATTCAGCCTAAAGTTCAACTAAGAAAGTGAACATGAAAAATTAAAAAACAAAATGTGGCTAGTCCAACGGAACTCGCCCCAGAAGTGATTGCCACCAAAAGATTATCCCTTAAAAAAAGGAAGTTCCTCACATTATCTTTCACTTACGAAAAATAACGTCACCGCGGGGCAGTGGCGTACGTAGAAATTTATTCGGGGGGGGGGGGGGGGATTAAACAAGTTCGTGGCACATACAGTCACCCAGTGCGTACTAGAAGGGGGAGGGGGGGTAAGAAATAGAAATTGGGTTGCAGGTTGCTGATGCTGGTAGTTATTTATCTATTTATTATTGTACAGGCGAAAAAGATTAGATTAGAACGGTATTTTATTTCTTACTGCTGACAGGCCCCTTTATTGCTTTTGCTTTAATTAGTCAACGAAAACTTTGAATAATAGGTATATTTATGGGCAAAAAACCAATTTCGACAAAAAATTCAAAGGGCTGTAACTTTTGATCTAGTAGTCCGATCTTGGAACTGTTTGAAATTATGGATTCTACAGGCCACATTCTATAAGAAAATATTTTTTTCCGGTCGATCTGAGACAATTTTCTTTCTGGGCAAAAAAGGCAGTGTATTTCCTTTTTTCCCAAAAATCGACTGCACCAAAATTTCTCGGGAAAAAACTTTTTCTTATTAATTTGGGTGCGTAGAATCCAAAACGATTCGTACTTTTTCGATTAGACATCTCAATCAAAAGTTATGGGCAAAAAAATTCCTGTTTTTAAAATTTAAAATTCTTATTTTCGTCATTTCCTGAAAGGCAGGACGCAGGTACCTCACCTCAGTAGCAGTACTAAGTACCTGATACCTTTTTCTTATTTTGGGCATCAATGTAGCGAATTGCCGATCGATGCCGAATAGCCAAATCGTTGATTGCCAACACTGATCACTCACTGAATAGTAAATACTGAATACTACAGAATATTTAGATTTTAGTGACTTTAGACTTTAACCAAAACCAAAATTGCTCTATATATACCTATATATTATTGCCTTTATTTTAAAGTGGGCGGAGCGGATAGCGCCCCCCCCCCCCGTAAATACGCCACTGCCGCGGGGGTGTTATGATAGCTCTCGTAAGTTGTGTATTTTAGAGGATTACTTAACTAACCCATATAGACTCTAGGATGAAAATCAATTTTTCTTAACGCATTTTTTACGGACTTTAAGGATTAAGTTTTAAAAAATGTTTGTGTTCAAAGATCCCCGGCACAAAGAGTATGCTCATAAATGAACAAATATAAAGAAAGGTACTTATGTCAACTATTAAAATTGGACATTTTCACGTTTGTGTATACATTATTTTATGTACGACTGCTTGATAATGCTGTGATTACAGTCGCAATTAGTGGCCACAATTTGCAATATTATGGCCTAGTCCATAATGATAAAGTAAAACGGCCGCCTGTCAATGTGACAGTCGTACTTAGGTGTCAATCCAAGGTAAATTCAAGTATTTTAGAAATGCTTGACATCTGTTGTCGAATGATATAACTCTCGCCAGGAAAGATTGCCGGTCACAGCACACCTTGTGTCGATTTACAATCTATGTTTTTCTTAAGATGCGAGCGACTTCCGGAATAGGATCGTGCCAATGTTGAACGAAAAGTTTTTTTGTTCAACATTGACACGATACGATCCCGGAAGTCGCTCGGATCTTGAGAAAAACATAGATTGTAGACCGGGATCAAGTGTTCTGTGACCGGCAATCTTTCCTGGCGAGAGGTTTATATAGATTTGATCGTTTATTGAATTCCATGAAATTTTTAGAATTTAGATTTTAGATTTTTAAGGGTTGTTGCAGTCGTACATAAAGCTTTGTATATATCGCGTCCATAAATAGGCTTTATGGGGACTCGCCTTATTTATTTGTGTCTCGCTCGCAAGCTCGTTCGGCTAAATAAACGGCTCGCCCATAAAGACCCAGTATATGTACTTGATATATAAATAGCTATTTTTTGATAGAGTGGCCAAAATTAAACTATAAGTGGACTATAAGTGATAGGAACAAATTGAACTCGCATTTAGGACGTATTTTTCAACTCTATGTTGAAAACCAAACTGGCCTACAGTCTTTTGTTTTTGAGTAATGGGTAAAGCGGCATGTTTCGATTTTTAGATAAAAACCTAAGTATAATTTTATTGTGTATTAGGTTAGCGGAAATGTGTTTATTACAATAATTGTATAATCTACCGTTATGAAAATAAGTATACGGGGCCAAGTAAAAAAGTTATCGGACCTAACCTACTTTTTTTAATGGAACACTCTGTATATTTTAATTTAAACAGACAGCATACTAAATTTTCTTTCCCAAACTATAGCACACCAGGCATATCAAAAAAAGATTCAAGCGATTCCAAAAAATTCAAAAAGATTCAAATGATTCACATTTTTTAATTTTTTTAATTTCTTTTGGAATTGAATCCACTCAAAAAATAAAGTTAGGTCCGATAACTTTATTACCTGACCTCGTACACATTATTTTGCTTATAACTCAAAAACAAAAGACTCTTGACCAGTTTGGTTTGGTTTGGAACATCGAGATTATCTAAAAATGATTTCAAAATTTTGCATGATCAAAAGAACACTTTTTAAAAAACGGACGAAGGCAACAGCCGTAGTGTTTGTTTGTTCGATTGCTGAAAATGATCTTTATTTTCAGAGTGACGCGATAATCAACAAAGGTATTCGATGTTTTACCAAAATGGCTAATTTGGTTTTTTAGCCTTCGAAAAGGGAAAGGCTGAAACCTTAGAATGTCCACGTAAAGAATTTCTTCAAAAATTTAACAAAGAAAGAGATAGACAACTTCTACAAATGACCTTCCACTTTTACCACAGACATTCGCGTTTTGGACCCTAGGAACCCAGATCTCAATGATCGAGAGTGCGCCTGTCTGTGCACTAATTATTTCCTGCACTCACTGTATAGTATACAGCGTGTCGCATCGACAGGCGGGACATAGTAAATCCCATGTAAATTTAAAGGAGGTTAATAATTATGGGTTTCCCTAATTATTTTAGAGGAAAAATGTATTTAGGTTATTGAAGAGCATTAAAATCCGCACCTTTTTGATAATTCTTCTCAACTGTTGATTTTGTGTAGATACTTCAGGTACTGAGTCTGATACTTGTCGATAACTATTTCCTTGATAATACCAAATGCTTTCTCTTTAGTCGTGTAATTCATGGCTAATTCATGGCTAATATAAATTTGCAACGACTGAACCAATATTCCCTGTGATTTTCACCATACAGCTTAGGTATATGCATTTGTCTCCTTATTACACTCTCAGCCTTTGTTTCTAAGTTGTTATAACTAATAGAAATAAAGCATTCAATTTCAGTTTCAGTATGACCTCAATTGTTCCCTGTAAATACGGGAAATAAGAAAGGAGAAATTACAAAATACTTTTGGCAATATCTTAAGGGATAACCGAAAAACAGCGAAAGTTATACTTTTAGATGCGGATTTTAACGCTCTTCAAATAACCTAAATAGATTTTTCCTCTAAAATAATTAGGGCAACCAATAGTTAACCGCCTTTAAATTTACATGGGATTTCCTATGTCCTATGTGATGCAACACGCTGTATATATAAATGTTATAGCAAGCAATTGTTTTGCCTGAGGCGGTGACTACCTACAACGTTCCCAACTAAACAAAAGAAATAGTATATTAAGATACAAGTGTATAATCAAGTCTTTAAAGCACGCGCAACGAGTTTAAGGGCACGACGCAAAGCGGAGTGCTTTTAACGTTGCAAGTGCTTTAAAGACCAATTATACACGTTTTAAGAAAGGTGCACAAAAGCTTCTCAAACAAATTACACGTTTTAAGGCATTTCGAGAAAAAGGGGTGTTGCGTTAAATTGCAATCTCCTACAGCTTAAGTTGCTTCAAAACCAAGGCGCTCAAAAACAAGTACCAAACTATGATATTTAATGTCGTGTCGACATGAGGAAGTTGGTGTTTAGCGTTAGCATTAACTTGGAAAACCGCAACGGAAAATTTTTCTCCCAAACGAAAGGCGCACGAAACTTGGGGATTGGCACAAAAATCATATGCACAAAATTATGTCATAGGATTCAAGTCGATCCTATCCCTCTTTCAATGACTCCGAAAGGAAAGGCGCACAAACCCTGAGTATTGGCGCACAAATCAGCACAAAATCGGCGCAAAACAATGACACAAGTTTCAAGTCGATCCGATTGTAAGGAGTGCTAAGAAATTTTGACATACTTCGAAGGGAAAGGCGCACAAATCGGTACAAAAACAGCACAAAACTATGTATTAGTGTCATGTGGATACGAAAATGATCGTGTTCCAATATTAAGTTGGAAATTTTTTTTTGTAAACGGAAAATGAGCACAATATTTTGGTGATGTAACAAATTTACGGGTTTTAACTCAACCCAGCCCGAATCCCACAATAGAAAATCTCAATACTTTTATTTGAAAATTTTTTCGATAGCTCTGCTTGTTACTAACATATATGAACTTTTAAAAATGGCGATTTTCACTTTTCTTGAATTATCTACGAAACGATTTATTTTTTTCAAAATATCGCATCGGTATATCCATTAGCACCAAAAACTACACAACTTTGCCACCGAATCTGTAAGTATAATAATAACAAAGATAGCCATGTTATCCTACTCAATTTAATACAGCCTGTATAGAGCGCATAGCGCTAAGAGTTTGAAGTGTAATTGAAAAATGACTCTGAGTTTGAACACTTGAATTTTGGAGCCTGGTACTTGAAATTCGCCAGCTAATTAGAAGATTCAGGATTAAATTTGACTCCAATCCAAAGTTTTAACTTGAAAACTTGAATTTCAGTTGTCGAAGTTTGAGGCTGGTTTTAAGGTTTTGAAGTTTGAGACTGAATCGTGTTTGATCTTTATGTTCAAATAATTTTGATACTTAATCATTGGATTGATACTTGAATTTTTAGTTCCAAACTTTACGTTTGAAGTTTAAAATTTGATTTTATAGCATTCACATTTTCATAGGTTTGAATGGTAGGTTAAGTGTTTTTTAACCCAGATAAAACCGAGATTAAAGTAATCACTTAATGGCAAGGGTAGATAAAGTGAAACAAATCTTTCTGCATTCCAATTACATATGCAATTCTTATTAAAAATGGGACTCGGAGCGCGATATAAAACGAAGTTCAGAACATAATAGAATATTTTCCATCAAAACGACGTGAGAACCTAAGCTTCCTATTTTGGACTTCTAAATTAAATACCTACAGAATTTTCAGGAGCTTTATAATGATTTCCAGGGCTTCTGCTATCAAATAAGGTTTTGCATTATACACGACGATAAAGGAGAACTAAGCATCCCTTTCTCGTCTTGTCTAATAAATAACTATCACACCTCAGATGTGTTACAGAAGCTGAAGTATAAAGCTCGACCTTTGTATAAAACGGTCCAAAATATTAACAAATTCGCTCTTCGTTTATACCGTTTGCAAGCCCGAATGATATTTTCGCCACATGAATAATTTTTATAATTGAGTCAAGACAGAAAAACATCGTAAACGCATAAGGTCTACTAATTTGTAATTAAAATAAAGTTTATACGTACGAGAAGAAACATATAAAAATAAATCATCTGTAAACCATCGACATCGACATGCGGATTGTTAAGTCGGTATTGCATTCGTAATACATAAATAACAGGCTTTTATTATCTTATCGTTAGTTATCTCAAAATTTAATTTAAAGTAAACTTTTTTCTTGTTGTTTTAGACTTGCTAAACCGAATCGACGGCAATCGGAGGACAGGAGAGGAACTAAAAAAGTTGGCATCGCAAGAGAAGGAATATATGTACTTTACGTACGTATATGTAGAAGAAATAACGTTTTACATTATTCAGTTTATTCTGGAATTCATGGTCGAGTAAATCCGGCCGAGATGGCGGGCTTTCCTGGAGCGTCCCAGAATATTAGAAACAAGCGAAGCGCTATCTTTTCCGGATAGGATTTTACCAAGTCAATAAGGTCCTTTACAATCCCGCCTTATACCCAGGTATCCGATTTATATTCATTTTATGCAATGATCGACGGACTGCGTCGGCACGGGAAATTTCGGAAAGTCGAATTTTATTTCGCGTCCGCCGCTTTTTAATACATTCCGTAATTTTCAGGACGAAGGTGGGAATAAAGTGCTATTGCATTATTCAAGTGTCTATTCCGTCCGAGTAGTGAGTAAACATGAGCACGTAGAACAGAAGAATACTGGAAACTCGGGAGTTCTTGTAACAACAATCGGGCAAGGTTTTAGGGATGAATCCCTACTGCCGCTAACTTGATTCTACAATCACCGCCGCACTTAGAGGGATTTAAAAATTTAGCTGAGAATCAATATTTCAAGCTACTTCCTTAACGTTTTATATTTATTTTTGTTGTAGGTTCCTCCGCTTTTACATAAATTGGTAATTGGATAGCGAAGTGTACATATGGGATAAGCCATCACCGTTGATCTATATATATGACAACTTTCTTAATGAATTGAAATTCCGCCAACAATGTCAACATGGGGATAGAATACACACAATTCGTGCCAACGTTGATTGGTCCGACTTTGGAAAACTCCTCGAACAAAAGAACTTCGGTTTTCAAGTTTTCTTAGATACCCCACTTCTATATTTCAATCAAGGTCCAGTTTTTCAGTTTAAAACAATTAAATACGTGCCTAAATTAAAATAATTTAAAATTCCACCATGTTTTACGGCTACTGTGTTTATCATGCACGTACAGCTTGTTCTTCTCCGAGTCGGATCTCGAGTAAAAATAAAATGTAGTCAAATCACTTGTCAACTTTTTAGAATTTGATTAAATTGCGGTTCTATTAAATTAAAAACTTAACTGGCATTCATTCGCGCCAGTCACGCATGAAAATGTAAAGCAGATCTGCCAGAAAAACAGGAAGATACGCCCGATTAAATAATTTAGTTTTCGACTTTTTGCGTTATCGCTCAGGTAATGGCTTCAAATCATTTCATCCGCTTACGTATAACGGTAACTACTTATCACAGACGATTTGAGAACAAAATTGGCTCATCTTCGCCTCCAGAAAGGGACGACACTAAATTATAATAATATGATCGTTATATGTGAGCCATAAACGTCTCGGTATTAAAATTGCTCAAAATTTATTTACTTTCCTCGCGCAAACGTCTACACCTCGGGTCGCCGAAATTTATGTGTGCGTTCAAAAATTGATCGAAGAAGTCTTTGGCAAAATTTCAACGAGAAAAAAAAGAAAACGGACAACAATATTTTTTGTCGCTCTCAAAACTATAAGTTAGAATTTTAACAAAAATTGCTATACTAAATATGTCGGAAACGATAGCTTGATTTACGATTTTTATGAATCGGAACTTGAATGTATATATTTTCTACGGCCAGTTTCCGCTCATATTGATTTATGAACACAACTAGGGGGTTATTGTTGTATTTTATTGTTTTATTTTCGTCGTATGTTATGTTCGCAAGTGGCGGTTATGATTGGACTATAAAATTCATATTGTGCTCTCGTGCTTTACATTTTTGGGTGCACATGCCAATCTGACACATTGCTACAATGTCTTCATTAAGATGGTTCCGGGGTTGGTTGCAACCATTACCCGCAAAGATAGATTTAGACAGCCGGCGATTATTCATCTTTTGCATAATGTATCTGGCAGTTACTTACTCTACAATCTAAAAGTGCCCTTTAGGAAAAGCGAAATTTTTAAGGCTACAACATAAACCACCGACGTGGATTTAAATCCTATACTTGATTTTTCAAAATTTGTTAATTGTTTGTGGGTGTCTGACTTTATCGAACAACTCAAAGTTTAAATTTTGGACAAGTTAGCTCCGTTGCTTTTCACTGTCGAGATATCATTATTGCAATATCACTCTAAAAATAATATTCATTTGGGTTTTGCGTACAGCAATCCTTGTTTGCGGGGGTACACCAAATATTTTTACTTCTTTAATGTGTTATGTTTAAATGATATATAAGCAACCCTCCAGTTTCCCTCCTAAAATGGGTTTTCAGAATAAAATTACCTAATTTTTTTTAGGAAGGTAAAACTTACATATATAGGAATCCTACCTTAAGGGGGTTGTAACTTTTGTGGTACATTAAATATTTTTGTTTTTTCGTAAATTACGATTCGTTTAGATATTTCGAACACTGCTACTCCACCACCTTCATCAACACGGTTCCATAGCTGGAACCTTTACTCTCTCCCTTGGGAATGATTAGTTATATTATAGGGGTTGAAGATCATTGTTTGTACCAAATCAAATTGATCCTTTACGACAGTGGTAAAAATATTTTACCCACGGTTAACTCTAAAAGTCCACCCACACACTAATGGCCCACCCTGTATATCTGCATGCGAAGCTAATGCTTTAAACCCGAGCATTCTACGATGATTACATCGTAGAATGCTCGGGTTTAAAGCATTAGCTTCGCATGCAGATATACAGGGTGGACGATTGTTGGTTTATTAACGCGCATATTTAAAATTCATTGTGGGGGAATGTTGAAGGACCCTTAAGGCTACAACCTAAAAATATTTCCACCGAAATTGCAATTGTTATACAGGTTGATTTATATCGAAGTTGCATTTTTTTTAATGGAATCCCCTGTATATTATCACATATTTCGATTCCTTGATCAATTTTAGTGTGACATACTGTATGTCCATAAGCACCATACTGCATCTGGAGGTGCGAACACGCTATAGGATAGTTCATTTCCGGACAATCCGCATCAGGACATTTCGCTCCAGGACCCGGGTTTTAAATGGGCGCTTTAAATCAATACAGATAAATAACCGTATGAAACTTGGCCACTAAGTACGCAATTTTACTATTACAAACATTAGTTACCGGGGCGCCCAGCTAAATTTAGCTCAGGGCGCTAAAAAAATAGCTCGGGGAGCCTGATTCACTCCAAGAACAATGCGTTTACAGAAAATCGCTCCCAGGATGTACCGCTCCTGGAAAAAAATGCATGTTGAGATCAAATGGTTTACCCAAAATCCTGAAATCTTCATTTTCATGCCTACTTTCCGTCGGAAAATTTTAGTTTCCATGACAGAGGCAGAGCAGATTGCGTTTCCTGCCGCTTGTCACTTTACTCGCCGCACCTGGCACTTTACCGGCCGCATCGTCACTTTACCGGCCGCATTTTTGACATTGCTAAATGTCTATAACGACTCCTTTCACCACTGACAGATTGACATTAATCAAAAGTTCTATATGAAAATTGAAATTTTATATTAAAATACGATTTCGGGTAAAAGTTAATACAAAACTCGTCAGTAAAATGATATTATCTGACTCGGAAATAAAAGTACTCGGCCCCACGGGGACCTCGTACTTCAATATTTCCTCGCCAGAAATGTGTTATTTTCCTGACTATTATGTAAATAACTATTATGAAATATTGATAAATTAAATTAAATAGATCTTTAACATTAGAAATGTTTATGTTTTCGTATATCCTTTAATAATGTTACGATAATGTTATGGCACTTATTATTCAGGTTGACGTGATCCGCAAGTTACTTGTGATGTATAGGATTAACTTCGAAGAAGAGTCACCATCTCCTATTTTGTTTGAGAGTATTCCGTATTGAGGCTTATAGGTCACAATGAAGAAGTCTTTGGGAAGGGAAGTATAATGAAATGAGTCTCATCGTACATCACATCTAACATTATACTTATCACTTTGTGAGTAAAAACAAGATCGTAGAGGAATGCCAGTCGTACCTATCTAGCTTCTGATAGTGGTGAGCACACAACGTCTTATGCCAATATTATGGCACACACTGCTTGCTGGATATTCGGCACCGCTATGAACAACCAGATAAAATACAAAAATATGATAAGGAATTAACGAAAATTGGCTTCCGAGCAAAAGTGTATAATCTTTAAAACATTCAACAGCAGGCACTCGTTTGGCAATAAGCTTTAAAAAATATCACAAAAAGAAACCAACACTGTTCAAGAATTCTACAGGAGCGAATTATTCTAGGCCCGAATATTCTGGGAGCGAATTGTCCTGTGAACGAATTGTTCGGCCGAGAATCGACCAAGAGCGAATTATTCGGGCGCGAATTGCCTGGAAGCGAATTGTCCGCACACAAAGTTGAGGTATCTGAGGGAGGACATTACTTCTGACCACGCCTGTGCATCTGTAAATATTCCTATAAAACTGAAATTCAAAAAATTAAAACTGCAAAGCGAGCTACCGTTACAACACACGCATTGGGTGCGCAAAGGCAGCTAAACAGAACCCAAAAAATTATCGTGAAATTATGGAAAATAACTTGTCACACAACAATCACCTCCTACATTCACACCGCCAGGGTTGCGACAGATCCACAGTTGTTTAGTCGGCTTTTACGACACGCAGTGTCTCTGCGGTAGGGTTATTCTTTCCCGCCCCTACACGGGTAAAATTTTGAAATAATACGCCAGAACTAGACGGCTAAAAAAATTCCCTATTCTACAGCAGGAAGTCGACTATCCCTGTTAATACGGAGATTAGACTTATTCGACGATTTTTGCCTTAACTTTCCGGAAACTCAGGTTTTAGACTTTAGAGGGTCCAAATTTTGTTTGAGAAATCCTGTATTTTCGCCAGTAATCGGCGTCACATAAATACAGGGTGGCACGTCGAAAACAAAACAGACTGAATAAATCACAAGAAAATAATTTTTGAAAGAACGCAACAGCACGTCAATTCTGGTTGGAAGGGGGACATCTTTTACATAAAAATGTACACCTCTGCTGTTAACCCCCTAAGTAGGGTTGCCATCCCTTCAGTAATTTTAAATTGAACGTGTCGAGTGAGCCCATTTCCTACAAAAGTGTGGTTTAGTTTTAAATTCGAGCGACTATTTTGGAAGATATACAAGCAAAAGCTTAATTATTTGTCGTTTGACACCCTGTATCCTTCAAACGACTCGCTCAAATTTGAAAAATAAACTACTGATGTGTCACTCGACCCAAGGTTCAATTTAAAATTATTGAAGGGGTGGCAACCCTGCTGAGGGGATTAAAACCAAAGGCGTACATTTTGAAGTAAAAGATGTTCCCCTTCCAAACAAAATCGACGTGTTTTTGTTTTTTTTTTTTCAAAAACGAGTTATTCAATCTGTTCCATTTTCGTTGTGCCACTCTGTATATGTATGCATTTTTCATCTCTATACCCTTATAGAACTTTTTATTATTAATTTAATATGTCAGTTTTGGCACGGTAAAGTGTTGGGAAGTAGTCAGGTAAAGTGATACTGTTACTGTCATAAAAACTAAAATGTCCTGATATAAAGTAGGCATGAAAAGGAAGGTTTCAGGACGATTTCGGGAAAAATAAATTATTAATATAATTATAAGGTCAATTATTTTCGGTAATTGTTCAAATATGACCTATAATTCTTATAGTGGCCCATTAGTGCGTGGATGGAAGATTGTGGGTTTATTAACGCAGATACTTATTTAAAATTCAATATCGGGGCATGCTTAAAAATACTTTCAACGAAATCGTAATTGTTATTCAGAGCGGTTTATATCAAAGTACCCCCTGTATATTATTGCATATTTCGATTCCTTGATCAGTTTCAATATAAGTTTAGGTATGTATTAGGTACACATGATATCTAAAATGAGTCATTTTTTCAAAAAGTAGATCTCCAGTACAAATTGAATATCGCAGTTATCATAAAACCTAGAAAGCCATGACAAAATTGAAACTTTTTTGTGTAAAAAGAAGACAGTTTTCAAAATTTTAATCGAAGGTAACTTGATTTTTTTTTAATGGAAAACGGGAAACAGCGAAACCTGTGATACATGAATAAAATTTATCGTTATGAGGTTATGACAGCAATTGTTGAAAATTGGCACAGAAGTGACCGTCAATTAAGTAGGTACCTACTAACCTCGATAATTACCTCAACGAAAAATTTTTTTAAATTTTTCAAAACCCACCCATAGCTAGAAGCAGGGCTAGAAATTAATTCTTTAGTGAATATCAAAGTGTGTGTGTAAGTTTTTTTTATGCCATTGTGTTACGCATTTTTGTAATTTGTATTTAAACCTCTCGCCAGGAAAGATTGCCTGATGTCATAGAACACTTGATCCCGGTCTACAATCTATGTTTTTCTAAAGATGCGAGCGACTTCCGGGATAGTATCGTGTCAATGTTGAACAAAAGGACTTTTCGTTCAACATTGGCACGATCCTATTCCGGAAGTCGCTCGCATCTTTAGAAAAACGCAGATTGTAGACCGGGATCAAGTGTTCTATGACAGGCAATCTTTGCTGGCGAGAGTTATATTTGAATGTTCCTGTTGTATTAATAAATGTTATTATCGGAGTTGCTTCTTCACTGTTTTCCACATTAAACCTAACAATGCATGAATTTAAAAAATTGTATCTGATATGAATCACCCTGTATATGGGTTTCGATTGGAGTGAAAATATTGTAGGTTTGTAGCCGAACTTAAAAAATGTACGTTAATAAACCCATAAGGTTCTGACCACAATATTGCCCCACCCTATAGATAACAAAATCGATTAATAAAAAGAAAATTATTTCAAAATGATTATGCTTTCAAGTTAAGTCTATTCCTCTTAGAATGTAAGGTTATACTATGTTTAAATGGTTTCGAAACCGGTTGTACTTTTCTGCCTTCCAAAAATACACAAATCTGGAAATACCGCATGCTCATAGTTTCATAATTGCTAAAGCGTTATGTCTGAAATGTACAGGGTGAGTCAACGATTGCGCGGAGTAACTTAATGCCTTGATTTGCCTTTTTTTTGCACCTCACTATTATGTAAATTACATATAACTTATTTAAGATTAGAATATAAAAACCAGGAAAACCAACATATTTCGAAAACTATCAGAGATAGGTATAGGGCATTATTATCAAAAGTTGTAGGTTTTTGGAGGAGCTAAAAGAGGACAGAAAAATATACAGGGTGTTCCATTTAAAAAAAGTGAGAGTTTTTAATATGAAGTTTTGTAACTTTGGATCTAGAAAAAAAAACACCCTGTAAGCTATTTTTTTAATGTTTTATAGTAGATGTATTTATTTGACTTTTACTTAACCCAAGATAAAAGATTCAAAACCGGGAATCAAAGTTTAAGTAATAATTTTGACAATATACTGACGCTTGTAAATGCCCAATTTTGCTTAAAAGTCGAATTATCTTTAAAACTACTAGCTTTTCGGATATTAACCTGATAAAAAAGACGTACAATTGCACGTAGAATTCAAAAACGCATTCAAATACAGGGGGTTCTATTTAAAAAATGTACCATTTGGGCGCCCTACTTTGTGG